AAGAGTGAATCCACACATCTAAAATTTCTCAAATAAGCATTCAGTAATAACTGGCAGTAGAATGTCTTATTTGCCTTACTTTAGTGTTTTTAGTCTAGCTAGGTAGTTTGTAGCTCTAAACTTGTTTTTTCTGTCTCGTTTTTTCACACATATGCACACACAATGAACCTGAAAGGTTTCAGGAGAAAACCTCTGGATCACCTATAGCAAGTTACCACAGCTCTGCTTTCTGACCTGTCAGTGCCACTGTTTAACCTGCAGACACTGAAATCTGTACTTGTGATATGTTGAGTCTCAGGTATTTTTATTAGAATATTGCTATAGTAACTTGGCAACTAGCTTGATTTGTAACACGCCCTAAATAGAGGAAAAACTGCTGAATGCAGTAGGTTTTGGTACATGGTGGTGATTTGTAAATTTACCATACTCAGTATTTCTGCAGCACACATCCACCTGGCAAGTTATGTTGACACTGTAATTGCAAGTATACACTCACAGCACATAACCTATGTTGCTCTTTCTCATTCTGTCATACAGACACAAATGCAGAGAGCTCTTGAGCAGTGAAGGTGCAAGACAGAGAAGTACTGCACACATCAGACAGGGAAGGAGTTTGGAGCCCAGCTCCTGAGTTGTACCTCAAAGCGCTGAGAGCTGACTTTCTTCCCCTTCTTCATCCAGGTGATGCGAGGTTTGGGCTCACCCACTGCCTGGCATACGAACGACGCCACTCCTCCTGAAATGCCTGTCTGATCGTCAGGGGATTTTATGAAGCTGGGTATGCCTAAGGGAGAGGAACAGTAGGACAAAGGTGAGGGAAGGAAGATAGGAAGTACAGGGAAGAGAGGCTAACTAGTATTAAATGAAGAGCCCTGACAGAGAAACCGCTTTAGGCAAGTTACAGGGATTTTACATCTCTACATCTGCTGTAAGTCTTGCAGTAACAATATGCTCTTTCATATGCAGTCTTATGCCTGTAGCCTCACCGAGTCAAACGCAATGCCAGTAAAAACAGCCATGCACCATCCTTCCTTGATAATAAGCAGCACCTGTTAGTATCATTAATAGTTGCAGGGACTAGGCAGATATGAATGAGCAGATAGAAACCTTGAACAATCTACTTTGAATGCATGATTAAACATGTATCATAAACCAGCACCAAGGGCCACAATCACTGAAGTTGTGCAGTGGGACCATACATCATTAAAATAAGGGCTGGAAAGGCCTACTATTCAGTCTGCAATACGGGCATGCACATATAATAGTGTTGCTCTAAAAATAAATCATATTTACACTTCGTACCACAGCCATGCATATGTTAAAAGTACTCTGTTGTGGTGTGCACTTAAACAAAAAAAAAACCTGAATAAATGAGTGGAGAAATATACTAAATGGTCGGGTTGGGTCTATGCGTCCCCTCAGACAGACGGGTCACTGCAAATCAATACAAAGTTGTTCTGAGTGATCACCTTTATCCTATTATAACATACTGTATTTCTATCCTGATGGGAGTGTCCCCATCCACAGGGCACAAGGGGTCACTGAATGGGTTGATGAGTAAGAAAATGATATGAGTCAGTCACCAGACGTTGTATGGTCCTCCCCATGACTAGTAAACTAGTGGCTTGCGAGATAACCCCATCTTCAGTACCTTAAATGATAATTCCTGTTGATTACAACTGGGGTCTTATTGTAATGGCCTTGCTCTTCATTTCTATCAATTTTGGCAGCATGTATTCATCAACTTTTAGCTCTGGGAACACGGTGACATCACTAAAAGAAATCATCAAGCTGGTCAAGAAACAAAACAGATCAGATAATCAGACAAGTGTAAACAAAAACTACAAATGTAAGTATGGTTCTAAGAACTCTGAATGTATGTATGTAGCAAAAGTCACGTGAAGAACTGATGAAGCCTCTTTGATGAGAGGTGAAACGCCTTCGACCTAGAAATCTAGTGCAGTTGATTTTTTCTAAGTGTTTTTCAGCTCACATGTGATATGGATGACAACAATGACCTGATACAAGAGGGTTAGGGTTAGGGTGCCTGTGTACTTAGCGTCCACTTAGCAGTCATCTGCTTTTAACCTTCTAACCTTTACTGTACATACATTCTGCATACATCACTGTGTACAGATTGGCTAGCATTATCATCTCATTACCATTGACAAGATCCTCATAACCCATGGATTGAAGCTATATTTTGAACCTCCACGGGCTGCATAGCTGATGATAATATCCGGTCTTACTGGATGATACTTGGGCATTTCTACAACAAGATAAGATAAAAAAGCACTGGAACTGTTGCCAAGTCTAGCTGAATTGTTCCCTAGTAGATTCCTATGTGCAGCCCATTCTCTAAATCACTCTCTTTGTAAGGACTGAAAGCCAGCAAATTTAAAATACAGGCATTGATCCTTTAAAGTGTAGTGGTTAAAAATAAACAAGGTTCCAGAGGGAATATGTAATAGAACAGTATGTAGTTCATATATAGATATTATTTGTACTAGTTGTGTAAGGGTGAGCTAAGTGTTTACGGAAGCCTGATCTGTTTCTTGTGCAAGCAAGAATATCTTGGGCTGTGTCCCCCTTGTTTAACTTATGGGTTAACATCCCGAGTGACTTCCTCCTCAGATAGGGAATGGATATAGCTGCAGCCTATGTGAACTGTTCGTGTGCTCTGTTCAGGTTTAGAAAAAGGAAATGTGTGCTAAGGCAATGCAACCTAGAAGTTCATGTACTGGACATTTTTAGACAATGCTCCAAAGAAGGTGTGTGTGTGTCTGGCATGAGACTGTGTCTCCATGGCTCAGGCCATGGAAGGCTGTGTAAGTGCGAGCAGATAAAAGGCTAGGATAGCTGGGTTAGAGGAGAAGAAGAGAGGATGACAATGCCCCGGAGGGATGGGGGGGAACGATGGCTGACTGTGGGTTGACAGAAAGACTGACTGACGGTACCTCATGACCAACAACAACTGAATGGACTGACTGGCGCTTTTGACAATCTTCTTATTTAATACTTTATCTGTCTCACGCCAGGAGGAGTGACTCTGGTCTCCATTCTCTGTTCCTTATCAGATTGTCTGTTTCCTACTACTCTGTTCATAATAGTTGTAATATTAAATGGTCATTTAAATTGGGATGATTTGTCTCAATTAATTTAGTCGGCATCACACTCTAGCCACGACAAAAGGAAAATTGTGTTTGCCCAACAAATGCAAGTACAGTAACTCAAATTTAAGCGAGTGTGTCTGGGAACTCTGCATGTTTACAACTAACAGCCTGGTTGAAATTTTTATTGGTTTTATTTTCTCTTCCAAGCAATCATTTTTAAACCTGTCTCATTGTATATCTGTTGGTGGTGTTTCTTGTTACACCAGACACCCTTTTGGCGATGCGGCCATGTTTTTCCAGCTGTAGCAGAACAAGTGGGAGGATGGAGGGTGTGGCCATCCGTGACACAGCTACACCTTTGGGCCCAATCTGTCTGACTGAACTTGCATTTTTTTGTTGTTTAGTTGAATATTTTGAATTAAATCAGTTTGTGTTTTGATTGTGAAGTCAAACTCAGACCACGACCGTGTCTCCTGTAGAGCAGAGACGAGTCCCACCAGCTGTCAAGGGGCTTCTTGATTCAAACAGCACCACCACTGTAGTGTGGTGGTTGATTTTACCCCCTTAGTCCCCCCTCAATAGGACTCCCTTGCTCATAACAATAAAGGTGTGAACAGTCCAGATTAGAGCTAAAATTAAAGCTTAGTCAGTTTACAATAAAGAGATATGACATCATCAGTAATAATGTCTATTTCTCCCTCTCAGTGCTATAAGATATCAGGCATCGAACATCAGGGCTGCAGAGTAACATTTCATACTGATGCCACTGAACAAACTATTTTCACCAGGTTGAACAACACCAGGTGGAAAATGAAACCAAAGAAGTCATCATGACACCAGGAGCCTCATCAGTCAAAACAGATACCAGTAAAAAAGTTTGTGCCAAATACACAGCAGGTAATTTATGTATTTTAAACAACTATTTGTGCAGATTAAACTTTACTAAACGCTCCAGAGGAAACACACCCAGGGGAGGCACACCTCTCACGGCGTCAGTGTGGGTTGAAACATTTAATAGATTGAAAGTCTGTCTGTTCCTTGAGGCTGAGAGTGATGTACCTTCTATCCTTGGTTGTCTGCCCCGCTAGCTTGTCTTACATTTTTATCTTTTATCTAACTGAGGTGTGAGCAAACTATTGGTAAAGTCCATGGCACCAACCATGGTTCTCAAATAGCCTGTCAGCAGCTGTTTAAATATCAGCAGATCACTATTTTATAATATATCTATTGCAGTGTCCATGGTTCTGAAATAGCACACATCAGTGTAATCCACATGTCTCTGCTCTGCCCTTCCATGTCCTTAAATTTCCCCCTGGAGCTGTCTTACATTTCCATACAGCCTGTACTAGGCCATTTAAGGGCCTACAGGTCCTTGCCCTGCAACGAGCTACCGGCTCTGTCCCTGGCTTCCAGATCTTGTCAGTTAACTTGATGCGTATAGTGTTATTGACATACCAAATAGCCTTTGTTCTTTGACTGTAACTAGATATCATGCTGTCAGACATATGATCTTTATTGCAGGGCAGTTTAAAACCAATTAAGGTATGCCTGTGATTTCATTGCATGTCTTGTCAAACTGATTACATGTACCCATTTCAGGAAAAGCTCCGTTCCATAGTAATATACAGACTGTGACAAACATTTACATTTTACATTTTACATTTTACATTTACATTTACATTTACATTTACATTTAAACTTTGTCACATTTAGCTAAATGTGAGAAAACTTGTTGTCACATTCAGCTAAATGTGAGAAAACTAGTGGAAAAATATTTTTACAAACGGCACCCCATAGCTCAGTGGATCATGTAATCCTCACAAACTGTATGCGATGCAAATAGTGTGTTGCTGTCACTCTATATATCGCAAATAAAATGCTTTCAAACACTCTGATTATATGCCATGCCTTGCCATAATCTGGATAATGTATAAAATGTAGTTCTGTAACGTGTTTAGGCTTGCAGATTAACCATAAAACCCAGTAAAAAAGTTACTCGGTGAGGCAAACAGTACGCCTGCCTCAAGGCAGAGGGTGCTTGTGAGCCCACAGATTCTTGCGCTACCTACAATCTTC